TTAGCTCCATCGGATAATGAAAAGCATTTGTTTATGAGGCAAAAAATGCAAACAAAGATTCGCCTACTGCAACCTATCTCTAAAATCTATTGACACTATAAATGATGAGGAAAAATAATTGAGTTGTTCTTGGTGGATGGAGTCCGATTTTAACGCTAAACCTGTCTTTGATTCCTTAAATAAATGTGACGTCATCAACTACAACATATGTTTCTCTTCAATATTGTGCAGTCACTGTGCAGTGTCGTGACATGAAACCAGTCACGCTATATTTTGGAGAGCCTGTAGGAACAGTCAAAATACAAAACAATAATAAAAATATCACAGTATATTACAAACTAAACTGTCCAGAAAGAAATTTATTTATCAATATATAGATGAAGTAAAAAGAACTTAAGTGCTCGCATACTTATAGACCTTCTTACGAACCGTGACAGACTTACCCATCCAGCCGCAAAAAAGGGCTCTTTGCATGACTTGATCACGTGATCAACTTTCGGTAAATACAAAAACATTTCACTTTTGAAAAACTTTATAAGCAAAAGCTGAAAGAGCTTATTAACATTATGTAACCTGAGAATTTTCAGCCGTATATCTCAAAAGTAGCGATTGCAACAACCGCCGAAAGTTAGAAGCATTTGTATGAGAAAAACAACTTTTGCCACCTAATCACGCTTGCATGGTTTTCCATACAAATCCTTGTAAATTGTAAAATTTTTAAACTGTCGCTAAATCTTTCCATTACGCATTTAAGGACTCAAATTGCCAGTTATAAATTAAAAGGAAATTTGAGCCCTGTAAAATGCTTAAGGAAATATTTCATGACAGTTTTGAAAATTTCGAAATTACAAGGATTTGTATGGAAAACCATGCAAGCGTGACTGGATGGCAAAAGTTTTTTCCTCATACAAATGCTTCCAACTTTTGGCGGCCGCTACTTTTAAGACATACTGCTGAAAATTCTCAGGTTACCTAATTTTAATATGCTCTTTCAGCTTTTGCTAACAAACTTTTTCAAAAGTGAACTGTTTTCGTGTTTACCAAAAGTTGATCACGTGATGAAGTCATGCAAAGAGCCTATTTAACGATAACAAAGCGAATCATGGTGCCCTCACCATGCTTCTGATTTGGAGCCGAAGCTGGGATAGTTGAGATGAATGAACTGTTTCGCTTTAGTCGAATTTTTTTCCCTTGTTGCTGGTATTTCTTAACCGGTGAGGGTAACGTCGGAACGGGTTTGCGGAATGGCATTTGAAATGTCTCTTAGCCTTGTCGATAGCATAATCATACGAAATTAGCCCGCGTAACAAGCTTTTTTCCGCGAGTTCGTCGAAAAAGTTAGGATTTCTTCCAATCTTTTTGCTCTCGCGCCAACTTTCGCTCAATTACTCGATCGGAAACGCTTGCTAGGCATGCGCAGGCTAATAGTTATACGTACTGGAAAACCTTTGCTCATTCCATGCATGGTGAAATCAACTTGTGTACTGTTTTTTGCACTGAGGTCGGAGAGAGCAAGAAGCCAATTTTTTTTTTCCTTGACTCTTGGTGCTTCTCCCCTTGAACCCAACCGCCTATGGTAATTCTTTGCGAGAAATTTTTCAATTACAGGGGATTATACACTAGTATTTGTGTACATACACACATACATGACCTTTATTAAAGTGTCTAATCGTTCTAGTGCCTATTGGCACTAACTGGGGACACCTTTAAAACTAAAGTACATCATTAATAGAAAACTAATTAAGTACTATAAAGCATATTATTATTCATTCAAAATATTTCCCCGATTCTGATTGGCTAAAAGCACACGTTTGTGTTTCTAGTGCTGTAAAATTTTAGCGTGAGCGACTCGTGGTAGACTGCTCACAGTGCCCTATTTTAACAAATGTACTGAGTGGCGAGCACCGGGCTCAGGCAAGACTCGGTACATTTGAAGCAAAGATGGCCACCCGAACGTAAGAGTAAGTGCTTGTCCCGACGATCTTACGAAAGGATAGGGGACTTAGAAAAGTCTAAACTCGTAGAGCGGTTGGAGGAGACGACTGAGAGTCAGGCAATTCAGTTTATCAACGGAACAAATATCCGTTTTCAAAAATATCCGGATACGTATGGACGGGTGTCGGGTACCGCAAATCATGTTACTAACGGGGAACAAGCTAAGAAACGTGAAACGATCACAGGAAACGGTAAAATTAAAAAAGGGAACAAAACAGAGAATTAGCAAAGCTCGCCTGTGTACACTGTGTGTCCAGAAATATACACTCTACTGTTAGAAGCGGCATGCTCTCTAATTATTCTGGATATATCGTAGACGTACTTCGGCTAGTTCTCCCGCTGTCTACCTAGTTTTGATATATCTTATAATCGTACAATTGTTACTGAGAAAATTTTAGTTATTTCTCATCGCGAAGTTGAGCTTTTAGTATAAATTTGTCGCGCATGGATCGTATAGACATGCAAACTTGGGTTGCAAACGAGCAAAAGAGACCGTTTCCGCGTGCAACAAAGGAAGTAGAAGACGTCTGCACGTAGGCTTCTTGATGGGCATCTAGGTCAATCAAGTCGTTCGGTTGCATCTTCTTTTTGTTCAATGAGGTAAGTTTAGCACTTCTAGAGAAGATTGTATTCCACAAATAGAGTTTAATTGCTTTACATTTGACCTTTGTGGCCTTTTGTCTTTGCTTGTCATTCGTAAGCAATAGCTAAAACAATGTAACTACTCCGTCGACCAATCACCGCTCCTGACCGGATTCCGGACAGATTTTGCGTCATCAGAATGGAATTTTTGTCGCTGAGTCGGCGAGGAGCGAGGAGCGAGGGGAAATGGCTGTTTACACCGGATAACTTTTGCCATAAGCAGAAAGCAAACTGAATTCCTCCTTTAAAAATGGACCTGAGCCCGCGATCGATTGAAAACCAAAAACTGGTCTGCCGATAGCGTTTAAAAATACGTCACCACCAAAAGTTGTTTACCTGAGCCGTGATACAATCATTTGACACTGGTAAGCGGATACCTTTCTTGACAGCTGTCAATTGACCATAACATGGATGTCCAATACCAGGTTAAACACAGATAGCGATGGGATTCGCAGCCTTTAACGCTGCCAAATAAGCCTGTTCTTTATCAATGTAGTACATTTCAAAGAAAAGTAGATAATTAATGCAAAATGAGTGAAAACAGAGACGTTTATGACAAGAAAACCAATTAGTATGTCTTGCTTGATTGGAGTGGTCAGTCAAGAACGTTTGCGAAATTCATTTTCCATGCTTGGTTTTTACGCGCGCTTTGAGTGAAGAGTAGCGGGCATACATTGCGCTTTTCGAGGACTAAGAGGACGTTTCAGTCAAGCAGATTAGCCAGAAAACGGGAATTTCACCCACTACGATTCGATCAACAAATAACACATGAAACTTTTGCTGAATTTTCAGAGCGCGTGACCTGACAACTTTGAACAATTTTCCCATCGCCGAAATAGTCAATGGGGAAGCACTTGCAATGAGTAAAAGCATGAAATGGAGAGAGGATGAAATATTTACAAAAGCTGCATTTTTACTTTTCACATTTGAAAGCTTACTTTTGAAACTGTAGCGATATCCAGTCCAAAGAAACACACTATGAAACCTAGAAATGTCACGCACGATAACGTGACAAGATGTACTATCGCATGACTTGTAAAAGTGCACGTTTTGTCTTCGGGTTACATATGACTGGGAAAAATTATGACCTAAATTGATAATTCGTAAACCAAGGCATGCTAAAAGTTGCCATAGTTGACTTCTAATCTTTATCTCTCCACAATACCTGCAAGTCGGAACGATTAACAGGACATTTTTGAGCGGCTGCGAAGATTAGCAACGGTTAACAACGATTAACAGGGAAGTTTAATAAGAATCAGAAGGTCATTCTCTATTGAAAACGAAATAGTGTTAACCGTTTCAATGCTTTGTTAATCGTAATATTATTCTATCCATGGAATTATCATAAAAAGTTAACCGACTTTTAACAAACAAAGTTTCTGTAACACCCATAGTTAACCAATTATAAGCGCTGAGAAGCAATTTCCACGTGACGGGAAACGGTTCCATTTCGGATTGACTATTATGTCCCTAAATAAACACTACGAACTCCTTTACTTCGAAGAGAACCGTCATTCAAGTCTTGTTCAGACTCTTCTGAAAGAGATAGATTACTTTTCACATTTTCCGAGCCTTCCATTCCGGAACTACAGGAAAATATCTAACAATTAGCACGCGTTGTACGGCTATTGCGAAATCTGACTGTTTTAAAGAGGGTGCTGCAAAAAACGTATATGAGGTCTTGCTTTTCTATGAGAATATGGTCTGGCGTGCAACTTTGTGCTCAAAACAGCTTCTGTAAAGTGCTTTTTATTAGCATGTTTTTGTTTTGTCCTTGCAGATATTCTTGCGAGAAAACGCGAAACTAAACATCGTAGCTGTACCGGTTCTTCCCTCTCCCCCTTCCCCTGAAAGCAATGTTGTTGTGTATTCAAAAGAAAGCCTGATCCCTGGGCGTTTGTGGGAGGCAACATTGAATTGGGGGAAGGGGTTTTCTTTCCGCAAAGGCGTCGTTTTGGAAATAGTTTTGTTGCGTAGGAAAGTGGACATGATGGGGAAAACTTTCTCAAGTAGTTTTATCGGGGATTGTAGTATTAAAGTGTGACATTTGACATCGGTTTACATCGAGTGTACGGGCGGTCTGTCGCCGGGCGTACGCTGACGTCACAATCAAAGTTTCTCGCATGGATAGTTTACCCAATTTTCTTAGCAATGGGGCTCAGCTCACGCGAGTGGAGCTCTGCTGTGAATTACAACTATTTGTCAAAGTCTCGGTTATTTTTACGGAGAAACTGCGCAGAAATTTGTCGACAAATCTTTCCTTTTTTCTTAATTTCAGCTTCTCGAATAGTTGCTAATACTGACAAGAGATGACATTGCAACCGTTTAGTGGCGAGCAATTGAATTTCTTCAAGTTCTCCTTGTTAATATTAGATGAATTCCCAAGGGCCTTACGGCAGACCTTTGCAACCATGTGGGACAACACCTATGGAGGTCTTCCTAGTTTCCGGCTCTGGGATGATTCAACTGCTGTGAGAAATTTGTTTGCCACTACAGAGGGCGGTAAGACTAAAGTTTCTATTCACCAGTCTTACAATGAATGGGATTGCACCAATCTGTTCCAGGCTACAATATTTGCGCAGTCTTTTGCCCCACCAGCCAGCACAGGATCCTACACCACGCTCAGTGATTTTTACGTGAAACCCCGTGCGGTATCTCATGGTAGTTTCCACGCTTGTGTGCTCAGCCGGAGTGGAAACAATGAGGAAACCTTGGCACTTGCCATAGATCAGCTTCGTCGCCTTAGGAATTCACTGTGTCACTCAACAAGTTCGAAGATGGACAAACTGACCTTTGACCAGCGCGTGAGTTACACCAAAGACGCCTTTAAAGCCCTTGGTGTCCCGACAGCCACAATTGACTTAGTTGGAAGTTTGACGGAGTCCGACTTCCCCACGAATGAAGTTCGTAGATTGGAAGTTGGAATAAGAGAAGAGACTCGAGCGTATATCAAATTTCTCGAGGATGTAAGCTCAGATATCAGCGAGATTAAAGAGTCGTTAAGTTTTTTAAAGAGTGCAAAGAGAGGAGATACCGAAAATATCACAATATTGGAAAACAAGATGAAAGAAATGAAAGAAGCCCAAGAAACATTTGACGCTGAGAACAAGCAAAAGTATACCGCGATTCTCGAGGGTGTAAGCTCAACTATCAATACTTTAAAGAACAAAGTTCAAGAAAATACTGCTAGCAGAGAAGACATTTCAAGGTTGGAAAAGAGAATCAGTGAGTTGAAAGAAGGACAAGATGAACGTTATGCCCAACCAAAAACTTCAGGTAAAATATATCAAGCAATGAAACCTATGCCTATGTTCACACTACATAGGCAAAACGTAAAAACCACGATTTCACGACAGAAAAACTAACATCCATCACTCGTCAGATATGGGATGTTTATTACCTTTCATGATTTGTTTTTGCTTTCTGTATTCTTGTCTAATGTTTGTCGTCTTTTATACTGGGAAGGATGTAACATGTTTTCAATGACTCCCCGGATGTGATGATGTTTTAGGGCTATATGCAATCGTTGTTACAGTAGTAGTGATTTCATGAGATTTGAACGTCTGTTTTGTCCTAATAATAAGCTTGTTTACCATGTTTATCACTCCCGTTTTTGCAATACATCCGATCAACTGTTTTTAATTCCATGACAGGTTATAACCGGCATCTTTATAGTAGGCAGGTTGGATATTTAGCAAGTGCTTTCTGGTAATTCTTACGTCCGTTCTTTTTTTGCCATAAAAGGTATGAGGTCATCGCTACTAGCAGCTTCCCTTCCCTCAATGGTTCCTAATTTTACTGGGCGTCAGGGCGAGTGTGAGAAGATCATCAGCCACGTGACTTCCGAGTCTATCCGACTGGTGTCGATTTGGGGTTCACCTGGATTTGGAAAGACTTCGGTTGCAATTGCTGTGGGACACGCACTCCAGTCTCAAGGACTGCCTGTATTCTGGGTCTCATTACGAGGACTCCGTTCTAAAGAAGATCTAGTTTCAAAGTTTTTGGGCTTTCTTAGGCAACCGAAGTCAAAGAAAAAACCGTCAGGTCAGTGTCTACCCATCGATGATGATCTTTTCCAGCTATTCAGCGAATTGTCAAAACCATCTGTATTTATTCTTGATAATGCCGATGATTTGCTAGAAAGTAGTTGCCTGAAAGTAAAGGAAGAGGTTATACGAGTTCTTGAGGAAATTCTCAGGCAAGATCAAAGGGTTACATTCGTTGTAACTACAAGGGAGTCCCTTGAATTTATGGACGTTCATTTTCAAGGTCACCAAGGTTTAAGAATAAGACCTCTAGATGAAGCCTCTGCTCAAACTTTAGTTTCGGAGTTGCTTCCGAATGTTAGCACTCATGAATGTACACAAGTTGCGCAAATATGTGGGTATGTTCCGTTAGCCATGAAATTAATGTGTTCTTTAATATCTGAGAAAGACGATATTAGTCATCCTCGCCATTTCCTAGATGACTTCATGACGTCCTCGACAGAAAGTGTCGTGAAAGTGTTAGACAATCCCGGTTACCCATCTAGTCACCGATTACAGGTTTTGTTTGAGTCCTCTTTCCAAATGCTAAATGCGCAAGAACAGGAAGCATTGATCTGTTTGAGTATTCTTCCTGATAATTTCAGTACAGAAGTCGCTGCAGCTGTTTTAGTCAATACAGAGACTCTCGGAGCCACAAAGATATTAAGAAGCCTTCAAAGGAGGTCACTGATTGATTCAAGCTCTAAACCTGGGTCATTCACAATGCACAAGCTTTTGCAATCATTTTCGAGAGATAAGGGAGAAAAAGAGATGCCAGAGGCGATGCTTAACTCAAAAGGTCGTTTGAATGCTTTCTACCTTTCACTTTTTGAGAAGCTGAACGAACAATTTCTCACTGGGCATTCAATGACAGCATATATTGCATTCTATGAAAATAAAAAGAGCATCATTCAAAGCTTAACTGAGAGCTGTTCAGATACCAAAACAGCTGAAAATGCTTTTGATGTATTAGCGGAAGGAGAACTGTTTCTTGACTCACTTTTTTGGAAGGAAGGAAACAACATTGATTACATATACGAAGCAGCCATACAGTCAGCCACGCTGCAGGAGAACGATAAATTCCTTAGGCGGTTACTAACTTCCAAAGCTTTTAGTGAGGTCACTTGGGGACAAACCGGACACTCAAAACAGCTTCTGTCTAAGGTGAAAAAAATTCAAGCTTCGTCTTCCTTTGTTTCCGACCACGAGAAAGGAAAATACTTGTGCTATCTGGGTATCTATCACCTTGCTGCACGTCTTTGAGTGTAACCTCAGGTCACGAATTTCCTACGAGACAGTAGCGACTTGTCAACGTTGTTGGGTCTCGTTTATTAAGACTTCGAACAATAAATGGTCTATGAACAACAAATGATAGTTAGTGATTTCGACTCTTCCAGTGCAAATAAGTTCTATAACGAGGCACACCATCAATGCAGCTCAATGGGAGACTGGCAACTACTTATCATCCCCTCGACGACAAGCCAAACAAAGGAAACAACTAATGAAGTACCTTCTAGCATCTTGCTAAATCAACCACTGAAATGTGAAATTGCCTGTCTATTAAACGAAGCAACAAAAATTTTTGCTGATTCTAACACGAAACAATGTTTAAACAGTTCGCTTCTCCAAATAGTCGAGGATGTCGAAAAAGAGGTTCAAATTTCTCTTGGTTTACTCATTTTTCATAGAGTTGTGACGAACGCACTGTGGGTTTCATGTAGTGGAGACCCTGTAAAACTGTATGCTGCGAGAATCAATTACCATCAAGCAGCACTCACGCAAGGAGGAGAAAGTTCCAGCGAAAATTACATCGTTGAGTGTCTTACTAGTATACAATATGAAGCACTTGCAAAATGTTTCTTAGACCTGGGTACAGCTTTCATACGAAACATGAACTATCCGGAAGCTCTTCAGGCAAATCAGCGAGCTCTTGACATAACGAGACGGTTTTTGGGAGAGGAACATGAAAGCACTGCTGACAGTTACAGGCAACTCGGTGTGTCACAATACAACATGCATGATTACAACTCAGCTCTTCAGTCTCACAAGCGTGCATTGGCTATCCGTATTAAACTGTTTGGAGACAAACATGAAAGCACTGCTGACTGCTATGTAGAACTCGGTACAATACAGCACAGCATGAAAGACTTCGACTCAGCTTTTCAGTCTCAGCAGCGAGCATTAGATATCCGCATTAAGAACCTTGGAAAAGAACATGAACGAACTGCTGAGAGCTATAGGCAACTCGGAGTAACACAAAACAACCTACATGATAACAAGTCAGCTTTTCAGTCTTTCCAAAATGCATTAGCGATCCGTATTAATCTCTTTGGAGTAGAACACGAAAAAACCGCTCAAAGCTACAGGGAACTCGGCTTAGTACAGCATAATCTGCGTGACTACAAAGCAGCTCTCCAGTCTCACCATTGTGCATTAACTATCCGCATTAAACTCTTTGGAGAAGATCATGAAAGTACTGCTGACAGCTTTAGACAACTCGGTGTAACACAAAACAACCTACATGATTACAAGTCCGCCTTGCAGTCTTTCAAGAATGCATTAGCTATCCGTATCAAACTATTTGGAGAAGATCACGAACAAACTGCTCAAAGCTACATGGAACTCGGTTTAGTACAGCACAACATGTGTGACTACAAGGCAGCCCTCCAGTCTCACCATCGTGCATTAACTATCCGGATCAAACTCTTTGGAGACGATCATGAAAGCACTGCTGACAGCTATAGGCAACTCGGTATAACACAAAACGACCTACATGATTACAAGTCAGCTTTTCAGTCTTTCAAGTGTGCATTAACTATCCGTGTAAAACTGTTTGGAGAAGATCATGAAAGCACTGCTGACAGTTACAGGCAACTCGGTGTAGCACAGTACAACATAGATGACTACCGGTCAGCCCTTCAGTCTCAGCAGCGTGCATTAGCTATCCATATCAAAAGATTTGGAGAAGATCATAAAGTCACCGCTGAGAGCTACAAGGAACTCGGCATAACCCAGTACAGCCTATGTGACTACAAGTCAGCCCTTCAGTCTCAGCAGCGTGCATTAGCTATCTGTATTAAACTTTTTGGAGAAGACCATAAGAACACTGCTGACAGCTACAGCGAACTCAGCACGACACAGTACAGATTAGGTGACTACAAGGCAGCTCTTCAGTCTCAGCGGCATGCATTAGCTATCCGTATTAAACTCTTTGGAAAATACTTCTGACAGCTACAGGCACGCAAGTGTGTATGGAGTTAACGCAAGAGGTAAAACTCGAAGAGAGAAGCAAAGTGGCACTATCGCTAACTAGTGGATAGGGAAGAGACTGCTGGTGCCATAGTTTGAAATTGGTAAGGTGAAGGAGGCTTTATAGCGGTCTCAAAAAAATTTAATAGTCACTGAGATATACAATGGCGGGATAATAGAGAGTTTTAGCAACGACGACGGCGACGGCAACGAGAACGTCGAAAAAGCAATAGGTTTATTGAGCAAAACAACTAGTTTGCACGTGCATCACTGCACGACTACGACCTGAAAATGCCTATTCTCACGTTTTATGGAGGACGTAGACAAGCGACGACAAACTTTTCTTTCTCTTTCTAAACTTGAGTGCGGTCCCAAAGAAATCAACTCCAAGGAAATTGGCCTACATTAGCTATTTTCAGCGAATTGGACTAAACGTGACAAAGTTGGAAAAAACGCCAATTCATTTTAAAAGTGACCTTTTCGCTGCCGTCACCTTTGTGGATGCTAAAAGTCCCTAATATTGTAACTACGGCAGACAGTACCATCTTCTTGTCTCATCTGAAAAGGTGATAGCTAGCCTCCTGGGCAAACACTCTTTGGGCTCTTCACACGTTCCACTCCCACGAAGGGGAGGTAAGATTAAAACGCGCAATGAGCCCAAAGAGTATTTGCTTAGGATGCTAGGTAGTAGCAGGACTCATTACAGTGAAAAGGTGTCTAATTTGGAACAAGAAAATCTGAATTCAGGAATTGTATTTCGTTAGGGCCACTCCCAGATGAAAGGGGCAAGGATGCTTGTCAGAAATTTTGAATTAAACCCCTAAAGGAAACCAGTCTAGGCGTGGTTCCAGCTTTCTTTTCCCCTAAAAGATACCATTTTTAAACATTCTTTTACCATTTCTAAACATCATATTTAATCACGAGTAATCCTAAATGAGACCTTAATGACTCAAGACACTGGATTTTTAGACGGGAACACTCCCAAGGGAACACCCTAAATGAGGCCAAAATCCGACATTTACACCCTAAGCAAGACGACGAGCATCCCCTCACCTTTCATATGGGAGTCCACCGGGATTTCTGGTAGGCATGGAACCTTACGTTTGCAAAAGTTAATAAGAAATTATTTTTGTTTAAGTACGATAAAATGCCAACTTCTGGAATATGTCGATAATTCGAGCTGTTTCCCAGTTAAACACCGGTGATGATTTGAACCTGCATATATGAGGTATTTGGCTGATCGAATACCAAATCGTTAAGAAATGTTACGATTTTCATCATTTTGATAGATAGAATGGCTAGATTATCATATTTCACGAGGTTTTCACGTGCGATCTACTTAATGAAACAGTCTTTAACTCTGACGAGTTGATTCTTCAAGGTTTAAAAGCAATTGCCTCTTAAAAGACAAAAGCCTTCACTTAAGGCACTGTTTACAAAACCAGAGGTCTTCATACGTTCAAGTTACTATTACTACTGTGAACAGCCAGTCTGTATGAGATGTAAAGTCACACAGTTTGCACGTGAAAGTGTTGGACTTTGCCTCTTTCGTGGTTCGTAAGTAATGGGATTCGAGTTATCACACATTTATCTAGTGAGAAGATTTTTATAAACTAGAGGTACTTTCCGGCAAGTGCCAGCTAGTCGAATTTCTTTGTTGTATGTGGGATGAAAGTCCCAAACTCTTTCTTTTGTTCTCACTTTCTCGCTTTCTTTCAAAATGGGTGCTGCCACTTTTGTACTTCGACATTATTTTCTTCAGATGTTATCGTAAAAAAATTATGAACCAAATAATGATTGAGCCACTTCTTGAAGTTATTACTTCATTCAAAACACAGTATTTAGGATACCACTTGCGAGAAAACCTTTGAGTGCGAAAATTAACTCAGTGCTCGCCTATTATTATTCGCCAACTATCTTACGATAGTGTTTGAAACTTAAGGTATGTCACGCGTTATCTTAGGAAACTCCGAAGAAACGTGCAAGTTAAAACAATTTGTTTAATTTCCACCAGATGTCTGAAGGAAAGACAAAGAAAAGTGAATCTACAGAATGAAGATCGACTCGACTGAGTCAATGCTAAGATTAGTTTCACTTTAGGACACTGGAGAACTGCGTTGTCCTTATTGACATTTAGTTAACTTAAAAAAAAAAGGAAGATGTAGTAACATGAAGTACTAACTGACCGCTGACCGGCGGTAGAGCGGTCATTCGAGAGAGCTGTATGAATCTATCGTATTAAAGTATGTTGTGTTGATGCTGTCGTCTCTGTACCTCTTCGGACTCAACACATAATACGGGAGATGCGTCTTATTGATCTCATCGCGAGAGTAGCTTTTTCACAAATTTCGTTGATGTGAGCACTAAATGACAAATTATTATCCATGATGACACTTAAGTGTCCAGCTTTCTTTTTAATATCAATTTTATTTCCTGCAAACGTAATGATTTGGATGGTTGCCTCATAAACTGCGATGTGAAGTGTAGCACCTCACTCTTTTCAGGATTACCCTTGCTCACGTTCTTAGTGTTCAGAGAAACACTTTGCCGAAGGGTATTGAGAGCATCATCATTCGGGTGGTTAGGGTAAATAGAAACATAAACTTGACTATCGTCAGCATAGAAAATGAAGTTGAGGTTATAATCCTATAACTCATCTTCAAGAGGTGAAATGTGCGACGTAAATAGTAAAGGTCCAAATTTGGATTCTTGTGGGACACCATACTCATGACATCTGGACAAAGATGTGCTTTCACCAATAATTACTCTCTGAGAACGTCCCCATAAGTATGATGATGTGACCCATTGCAGACCAGTGCCTGAAAAAGTTTAAATATAACCTCAGTCTTTCACTGAATCAGAAGGGTGCGGTCTAGTGTATCGAACGCCGCTGACGGATCGAGCAGTACAAGTACGACTTCATTACCAGAATCAACGGTTTTCAAAATTTCATTTGTTACCCTGGAATGATGTGTCTATACGTCAACTGGAGATCAGGAAAAAGGTAATGTTGACTAAAATTGCTATATACTTGAACAAGTGTTTTTCCTCTTTCTTTCGGCCTGTTTCAGATGTAAACATTGATCAAATTTGTATTTCTGATATGGAACTCTGGGACATCGAGGTGTCTGTTGATGAAGTTCGTAATCACCTGAAAAATCTTAACACCGCGGCCTCGATGGAATAGCCGTTATGCATGTTTACGTCAGACTATTAAATTTCACCACCAAGTCTCGTTTTCAAAATACAAAGTTGCCAAGTTTTACACAAATGAATTCCCAAGGCAGTACATTTGTAAAGAATACCCACGCACAGAGTGCAAATACGAAGAATTTTGCTTCAAACGGGGCTTGGTGGTGAAATTTGCTAGTCGTCTGACCTAATCAGGCATAAGGGCCATTCCCGATCGCCTCCTCAAAGAGTGATCAGATCGCACCAAGTATTTGCGCTATTTTAGTCAGTCACTTAGTAGCGTAAAACTCGCAAGCGACCGGAAACCTGCTGAAATTGCACCAATCCATGAAAAGGACTCTAACAAAGCAGCTGAACACTATCGTCCGATATCTCTGCTACCGATTATTCGTGCTTGAACGCCGTGTTTTCGATCTCCTTTTTGACCACCTAAAGTGCCTGATAACTGACTTTCAGCACGGGTTCTTAAAAAATCGATCATGTGTGACCCAGTTGCTTTCCGTTCTCCATGATATCGGTTTTTGAAAAAGGTTTATTCCGAACACATATCACCTTTCACGTAAATCGAATAGGTCGATCAAATGTCCGTGAGGTGAGTTTATGAATGTTTGTTAATTAAGTTTATGTTGTATTGTCCTAATTTTTGGAGTTGATCGTTCTCCGTTGCAGTTGGCTATTTACAAGCGAGGCCGAGGATTTTAACTCGGAACAACCGAAAACAAATCCAGAAAGTCGCCAGAGAGGGACTAGAACCCAGGACCGCCCGATTGCGAGTCCAACGCGCTGACCACTCGGCCACGCTACCTTCTTAATCAAGATAAGAACATCCAGACCGATATGATCTATCTAGATTTTGCAAAAGCATTCCACAGTGTAGTTCAAAAAATTCTCGTTATTAAATTGAGCGCGCACGGGATCTCTGGTAAATAGCTACCTTGGCTTGTTAATTATCTTTCTGGCCGAGTTCAACGAGAAGTTCTCGAAGGAGCTTTGTCACATTGGGCCCCTGTCACCTCCGGAGTGCCCCAAGGGAGTCTCCTAGGGCCGCTTATGTTCGTCACCTTTATAAACAATCTACCTGATGCTCCAAAGGGTCAAGTAAATACTGCGTTTTATGATGACGATTCAAAGATTTTTGGTGCTGTTAAGTGTGCTCGCGATTACGAAGCTGTACAGTCCACTCTATCGAATACAGACGAATGAACGAGTTGTAACAACATCCAATTTAACACCTCTAAATGGAAAGTCCTTATAGTCACACGTAA